GTAAAGGTTTAAAATGTAACCAGTTTACACAAGATGGAAAGCGACAGACGAAACATGATAGCTAATTACAGATAATTACACAATTTGAAAACAATTTGCCTCTAAAAACTGATTATGGCATTTCCAATATTCCAGTTGTGTACATGCCAGGAAAACCACTCTTTATACTAAGGCTTGGATCACATATTGTATTAATTAAAAATGAAGAACTAATATTCAAAATGTGGGGATATCATTATTTCATATACAGTGGACCCCTGATAATCTGTACACCTTCATTCCCAGCCAGAATCATCTCAATATCCATTTTTTCCCAACTGCACAGATTAACCACCCCCAACCCTCTTCCTCACTGCCCCCAATATAACTGAAGTCATCTCCCTTGATTAAATGACAATTAAGTGGTCAGTATGATGCTGTTGGTTGTTTTCAGAATTTCTAGGAATTATTCTGAATACAGATTAATGTCTTTCATAGGCTAGTTACTTTTTTTTTTCATTTTCATAAATGAAAGTTGTAGTTATTCAATTAAGTCAATTATTGTGGGTAATACATTGAATGTTTCCTTGATATCAACAGTGATGTTGTATAAAAAAAAGTTTATAACCTGCAATGTTTTCCTAATATGATATGCACAGTGTTCAATGTATTTACTGTTATATGTGTTTAGACACAATTCAACTAATTTCCCATTAAATAAGACAATTTGTTGTAGTCTGAATCTGTTTTTTAGAATTGAATGAATTGCTTGAGCATGCCTTAAATGCTGAAGACTCATTGATTTGAAAGCAATAAAATACTGTTATTTAGAAACTGGATTATTTTTATTCTTTCAGTTTGCTTTCATTTGTATTGCTGATAACATGAAAATCCATATTCTGTGCTGTGAAGAATTGATGGACTGGGGTTTCATCATTATTTATCAAATTTTACTCTGCATTTCTTAGATTATACATGAAGATGAAATGTTCATTACATTTTTTTCTTCATTTTATCCTCTGATGATTTCTAACTAATGTTAAATCCTGGTATATCTCAACATTCAAAATCATTTGAAATAAATACGGAACAATGTTTCCCTGTGTAGAACTTGACAAATATATAGATACTGAATTGGTAAGAAGTAATCAAATGTTTGAAAATAAGAATTGACCAGAACTTTCTCTTCAATATTTTTTTCACAATTAAATCAATGTCCTGTTATTATGAAGTACCATTAAATCTATCAGTCTCACAGAATGACGCCTCAGGTGATGATCTGGCAGCAGTCGCTTTGACTACACACATACAGTGCTTAACAGTATTCTGTCCACCTCTGGCAGGGATTACTGATCACAACAAAATTTCTCATATGGCAGGGAAAACTTCTGAATTACTTTTCCAAGATCTGAATTCTTATTTCTGGATTAGTGAAAACAATTAACATTACAAAAATCTGTTCAAAGACATTTCCATCCAGATTTTGAATTGTTCTAAACTAAACAGCCAAATCTCACAACACCTTGTGAAACTAGAAAATAGATGTAAAAGATAAATGTCCATGTACCTATGCATGGAAGTATCATATTGTTTGATAACTTGTGAAAAGTGACCTTTGAATCCTAAACCCCGACTGATGACCATCTCAATACAATCATGATTAGATGAAGAACTTAAGGATACAATACCATGGGATAAATATGAAATAAATCTGCTAAGAGGAACTTGCATAGGTAACACTTTAAACTTCAACAAAAGTCAGATTTTGTTATTCTAATATTCCTTCAATGAATTCAAATGGCAGTTGCTTGGTAATACCAACTAGCTACCAGTTATTGGAGTAATTAATATTGCTTCATTTAACTTGTTAATGGGAAAAACTTGTCTGAAGTTTCATTTTTAATATCAATAAAACATACCTGTAATTGCACTTTGAAAAAATCTACTCTTTGTTTTGTCATCAAAAGAGTGAAGACAGAACAGTTTATTTGAAAAAAGGGGAAATAATATAGTTTTGAAGCACACTATGTACACTGCATTGGATTTGTAAATCTGCAACACACATTTACATATGGACTCTATAACATGTACCTATATGCTGAAATCAAGTGACTTTACAAATAGCTCAGAATGTAAATATCATGAGTCATGGAATATTCTACACTTAAACTTCTCTGTCCTTTATAATGTCATTACCTTCTAGTGACATGACATTTGTCCCCAAAAAGAAGAGGTGTGTATGATAAAACCGCCGAGCAGAGCTTTCAATGGGTAATATTCCCAGACCCAGCTCTAGTAACATAGTAACAACCAACACACAGTAACAACCAACACCCTCTCCCCCAAAACGTAAAATAGAGACATAAAAAATCAAAAAGTTCAGTTGAAAATAAGAGAAAGTTAAGTCTCCAATATGACAGAATAAAGGATGTTATGTACTGTGCTTATTAAATACAAAGTAAAATAATATTTTAGTAGTACTGTGCATAATTATACATTTTAAGTGAGTGACATTCTGAGGAAGAATTTGTGTTGCTTCAGCATCCGGTTAGTGGTTTATTTTAAATATTTTGTTACATTCCAATTATAATTCCCATTATAAACACGTTTATCATAGGAAATTGCAATTCTCCATAAAGGAAAGCATGTGCTGAAACAATTACTCAAATACCCAAAAATGTATAAACGACGTAGATCTAGGTCTTCACGACATAACATGAAACGAGGATGCAAATGTTTACGTTTTTTGCTTCCTTGTTTCGCTTCGAATTTATTGCAGTTTGTCATAATTTCAACGTTTTAAGTAAATTGGCAACTGTATCAAGTTTTTAAGACTGGAAGTCAAGATATCAATGGTATATGTTCATGACATTTAAATTAATGTTTTCAATAATTATTTCATAACGACTGAACCATGCGACTTTCAGTTTCAGACAAGCATTCCCTTCCTTAGTTGGACAAGCATTGTACGATTTTGCTGAATATACATTAAATGACAGTAGGTAAATACAATCCGTATATATGACATAAGACAAACAGTTTAGCCGATCAAACAGCTTACCCGTCCATAGTACAACAACGACTCACTTGAGTACAAAACAATGACGTCTTGTGCTTGCGTTTCCTTTCAGGTTCAAAATGGCGGTAAAATTCACAGCAAATCACATTACATGAATATGAATAAACAACAAAAAAAATCGTATTTTTTTCATTTTTTGGGATCTAAGTATTTATTCTTAAACCTTAGGACATTTTTGTTCAAATAATTGATAAAATTTGATAAAACACTATAAATATTTATCACCGGAAACAGAAAATGATGACGTTTTCCCACTTTGTATGGAAGAACATAGCTGCAAACGAGTTTTTACACGTCAAGTGCTATATAAGTAGACAAAAATAAATCTTTGAGACACATCAGGGATTTACAACACGGTATTATCCTTGGGCACAGACATCTCACAATATATCATATAATCAGTTACAATTGAAACAACGGAATTAAATGCCTTTTCCAGTTTAAACGACTTATTACCGAAACGACCTGACACCATTGAAAACACCAGCCCTACAACAAGGTGTTATCAATGTATTTTTATTTACGTATTTATGATACAGCTACCACATGTGCATATAACTCAATGTTATAACACCTATTTCAGTGTTTATTTGTTTTTATGATTGACACACTTGTAATATGATCTAACGGGATTTTGATTGGATGGCGATTCCCGTTGCATTACACGGGAAGTATAAGTTTATATGTCTAGTATAACAAAGTTGACCTGTTGTACACTCGCCGGGCTCCCGACATTGTGACGTCATATAGCGTCAAAGGCTTCAAAATGTAAGCACTTAGCATCACTGACGAGTCCTAGAAAGATGAAACAGGTCTATGACGAAGTTAAATTCCTTGTGTGTCTCACTCTGAATTATGTTAAGGTGATATATGTTCTCTTGTGCGTTTTTTGTACTATATTTAAGCAGGGACGTATATGTCTGTCATATACGTCCCTGATTTAAGGCGTCATATTGCGCAAAACGTCATCGAATCGAAATTAAAAAAGCAAAAAAAAAAAACACAGTTCCGAATATTATTATTATTTTCAATTTTCCGTCACATAAGGATAGTGATTTTGTAGCACACAATGCTTATGTCTAATGTTGTGTATGTAGGATATGCGTGTTAAAATATGACATGATTGTATGGTCCAGGGGAGATAATCTAACTCCACATGGATGCTATTTATTTTCCTTTATCGTTATTCTTTTTGTGTTGAGAGAATATTACAAAATATACAGCTGTTTTTGTGATTTTGTCTCCTTATGATGTGAGAGCGAATTTCCCTAACCCCACAATCATTACACTAATGAGTAAAACATTTGATCGCCTAGACTGGATTACCTGTCTTAGTTACAACTTTTTTCCCGTTAGACTGAGCTCGTTGTAATTTTCGAAGCGAAGTCTACCGGAAAGTAGAAAAAACAGGCAATCAAGTCTATCTGATATCCGAGCGTTACTGCCCTTCGTTTCATTTTGTCGGCTCGACATTCGACAGGGGTCCATCAATGCAGCCAGAGAGAAATGCACAAGAGCCCCCTACCAAGATTCATCATCATCATCATCATCATCATCATCATCATCATCATCATCATCATCATCATCATCATCAAAAATTGACAGTTTTCTATGTTTTTAGAACTGGAAAGTAATAATTTCTGGTGTGTTTGCATGAACTGAGATTTCTGGGACGTATAATATGGAATCTAAGTATTAAAAGTTCCTGAATTTATTTCAATTAGCTATCATCGCAAATATTTGCCTTGTGCTTCCTCCTTTTAAACTTCATTATCTGCTTACGTAACGACTGATAACGATAGAAGGAAGCGATTCCTCAGTCTTTCGCGAAATACCAATCAGCATCTGGAACGATTGGGCTTCCGTACTAAGTAATGCCAATTCGGGAATCTCCTTTACTTCCGGGTCTTCCTCGGAATTGTAACCAACCAAGCTAATACACATGTACTTCCTGCGAAACGTTTCGGTACATGTTTCGTTTAGTATTATAATAATCAATATGCATTTCTATGCTATTTATCTATTTCTGTGTTTGATTGGCATTAGTGCACAGCAAGAACAAGAAGGTAATACGCCAGAATTTGCACCAGAGGAAAAATATTTGGACATTTTCCCTCTCAGTCAGGAAAATTTTACAGAAGTCGTTCTGAAATGTAACGATCCATGGATTATTATTTTCCACGATGGTTCCATGTCTATGGCATGGAAGAAAATGGCCGTCGGTGCCAGGGGTGTTGTTTGGCTAGGGATGATTGACAAAGCAAAAAACCACGAACTTCTTGTTAGCATGGTAAGTAATAATGTGATAACTTTCGCTTTAGGATCATTTTCCACAGAATTAACGTAACTCTTTGTACAGATAGGTGATACAAGCAGTACATCGAAAATGAACGAGATGTTCTTGCGAAAAGGGGGGATTAGGTTCACAAGCACTAATGTTTGATACCTATCCTGAGTCGTTGATTCTTTTCTGAAATTGGGACTGTGCAGCCTATTATCTAACATTGCATCAAGCCACTTCCTGACCAACTCAGCAAGAGTATTCTTTCCTATAACCAATTTTATCTAATATCAGAAGGTAAACCGAAGGGCCCAGTTTTAGTTCTCTTGTATTTATTTACGAACAGGTTTCCTGCATTTCAGTGGACAAGGTTTCTGGTAGATACATTGAAACATAAATACCTGTATTACCAATGCACTATTTAATTGAAAATCAATCATGCTGCTTGTTTGCAATCTTTTATATTCAAAGTTTTGCAAAACCTGCGGTGAAGGCCCAAGGGGTGAGAGAGATGTATATGTAATGTTATTTTTTGTACTACATCAGTGATTTTAAAGGCAATGAATGAAAATATTTATATTCAGAAAATTATACCATTTGGCAATAAATTTTTTGTCTATTTGTAAAACATTTAGAGATGTTGTCCCTCAGAAATATGGAGAATGATAGGGAACACAGTTGCCCAGTCTTTTTCACTCTCTATGGACAAATATTTCTACTGCTCCTCCCATGCCCATTATTAACTGCAAAAGATAAAAAGACAAAAATATGTTGTTTTGGTTTCTAAAGCATCACAATGTTTCTTAAGGAAAACTTAGGACCAGTTCTATGCTGGAATCAAAGGCAAAGCTACCCTGGTTAAATACAATTTCAAGTACACTTGTACCATATTGGCTAGATGGGTTTCTTCAACTCATTTGATTTGTTAATGTATCAGGTTGATAGAACAGTGATACCAGGTTTGATCCTTAATGACAGTATTGTAAAATATTTTAATTGTCTCTGTTACAATAACTAACTGAAGTAATTATATTAATTCAGAGATCCAAGAGTTGATCACTAACAACAGCATAGAAAAATATTGATTTCTGTGATATAGTTTTGCTTACATATATCTTCTAACTTTGTATTGCCCTGGATTAAATGTAAAATTTTTGTCTAAGGGAAAAAATATTTTAGTCTAAAAGCATCATTATTCTGGTTATGTTAATGCTGTTTGCTCCCATGAAAACTAGAATCAAATACAAGCAGCCAATGATCAGCTACAAGAATTCTCAAACTCAGTTGCCTAAACTTGAGGTATATAAGATCCTTTCAGGAAACGCAGGACTGTATACTCAGCCAAAAACCTGTATAACTATCCTGTCCTTGGATAGTAAGGAATATAATTCTACTGCAAAAACATCAATAGTATACATGTTAATTGTCTCTGGTTTCTTCTTTAATATCATTTCAGGGTTACAACCCGGCCAAAGATGGGGAAGCACGAGTATATCCATATGGAGGAATCCAGCATAAGAAAAAGGGATGGGTATCTGCTAAAAATCCTAATGATGCTAAGATTGCTGCAATTAAGTCTTTACCAGACCATACATTAAGAATGAAGGGCAAGGATATTCAAGACTTCCTGGTGGAATGTTTCTCCACAACACCTTCACGCTTCCCTGTCATAATATTGACTGGTTTGTATATATTAAAATAATCTCTCCATCAATGTCATTTAGATTTTAATTTTTTGCTGTGGGTAAGGTTCATAAGCTCACCAACCCAAAGGGAACATATGTTAATGCTCTGGTGAAAGTATGTTTCAAATTTTCCTTCAAATGATTTTAGGATTCTAATAGAGCTTATAGACTTACAGTACAGAATATCCTTTTTTCACCAACATGTTCTGGTGAAAGGCCATCAAGTTTTTTCAAATGAATTAATTCACAAATGGATTATCAAGTTTCTTCAAAAGGATGACATTGATTTAATTTCTGGCATGATCGGAGGGCTCAATTTTGTTTGAATATTTAAATCACTTCCTCTGAAAAACAAAGAGGCACATGCAAATGAAGTAATAATACTTGACCAATAGCATGCTTGTACATGAACAAGGATTGCATAAAGGTTATGGTCTGATACATCGTTACCGAGATTCAACTTGGACAAATGCAAAATTATGTCAATAGGGAAAAAATTGTGAAATTCCCCTGTTCCCATATAAAGATCCTGAGAACAGACAAGTGAAGGTGGAACTTGTCAGAAAAGAGAATGACTTTGGGATCATAATAGATGATGAGCTTAAGTTTCCTAATCAAATCCAGGCTGCTGTAAATAAGGCAGATAAAATCACGGGATTAATTATCTGGACAACACAACTTTCTGTCTGCTGTACAAGGCCCTTGTCACACTGCATTTAGGGTATGTCTGCAATCCCAATTTAATGAAGATACTGAAAAGCTTGAAAGTGGTCAAAGAAGGTTACAAAACAAATAACAGCAATAAAAAGCATACCATATAAAGAAAGGCTAAATCAATTAGAACTACCAACATTAAGATTCAGAATATTGAGAGAGGATATGTTACAAGTCTACAAATTAACATGTAACATATATTATCTGCAGGTCACCAATAACTTTATAAAGATGAAAACTAATAAAAGCTGTGTATATTGAAAGAACAAACAGATAGATATATGAAGATCATTTACACAGAGTTGTTAATGTCTGGAACACCCTACCAAATAAAATGGTAAATGCACCAACCTTAGAATCTTTTGAAAAATAAGATCAACAAATGTTGGTCAAATAATTATATAAACCATACCTAGAGTGACACTGTAGCCAGCCCAGGAAGAGAAAAAAAATCTGGATAAAAAAGGTCAAAGCACCTGTGTCCAGTATACATTTTGTCCATCTATTTATCTATGTACAATTTGTATCATTGTATCAAGAAATTTAGATAAACATATCCACACTGAAGGTTACAGATCAAAGTTACATTAGTATCACTTGATCTTCACATGCTGAATTTAAAATTAGGACCAAAGCTAACATATAGATATGTAAATATTTTGTGAGGCCTTGGTTTGGATCTGTGCACTCTTTTCCTAGCCACTCCTTAGCAAAATAAGAATGTGTAATCAATTTTGCATACTTTCAGATATGACATGTTATACAGACTTTCATGATTACTGTACATATAATAGACCCATAAATGATTTTTTTATTTAAACAATAGAATAAGGTATAATGCTTATCATTGTATTTGTCATTTTGTAATTCAGACACTCAAGATACACCATCCTTGTTCAAAGCACTGGCAGTGAGGTTCCAGAAATATTTTAACTTTGGAAGGTTTGTGGATGCAACTGTCGAAGATTTCAGATCTCTGGGACTGAGTCTAGAAGATGATACATTTGACTTTCCTGCCATCTTGATTCTTGTGCCAAAACAACCTGGGATGATTGAAGAAATCTCCTTCAATGCTGTAGAGTATCGTGCCAATGTTATGGGGGTAATGAACTACCCTAATGTTCTCCAATTCTTGTTTGCTGTAAACAACAAGTATCGATACTGGTTACCAGGTAGTGATATGTCTAATGTCAGGGAAGTTTCTGAAATGGAAGATGTTATTGAAATTGAAAACAGGAGATTTGATATCTTGTTTGAGGGAAAAAAAGCAAAAATCACTCAAAAAGTAAACAAAAAAGAGGAAAAGGAGAACTTTTCTCAAGAACAACTTGAAAGAGCTCTAAAAATGTTAAAGCAAGAACTCTAATGAATGTGATCAATGATAATTCTTACCTTCTTTCTAGAGACCATAGCTTATGCTTTCAAATGAAAAGAATTAAAAAAAACCCTCAAAATAATTATAAAAAAGGAGGGGGATATGTGTTGCAGATGAAATTCATAAACAGATAATAATTGTCTCATTGAAATCAATATCCAGTTCAGAAATTTGGAGATGACAAAATATATTCAAAGTTAAATGTATACTATCCTTTGTTAACTGATAGTCACTATTTAAATATGCATTTTCTGTATAGTTGCATTTACTTTTAATTAATATTTCTGATTAAGATATTTAAATGATTATCTAAACTAGCCCAGTTCCAATTTTCAGCTTAGTGATAATCTGTCTTTGAATATCATTTTGATCTGCCAGAGTGACATCCCTTTGTTTTGTTGGAGCAAAGAATGATGAATATATTATTGCCTTAAGCTGTCCTGGTACTTTTACAGAGTACAAGACAGTATGTCGAATAAAAAAAAATTGTGTCATTTCAGAAGGTTCAGTAACTTGAGTATTTTGTATGTTATTATTAAAAAGTTTTGATAACCTGCTTGCTACAATTACTAAATTCTGGATACAAGAATTGCTAGAGATGTAAGAGAACACAGACGAAATCTCCAGAGTCATTATTGTTTTGTGTCTTTTGATACATAATATACAATGTAATGGGATCAACGTATGGATACCTGAAAGACAAGGGTATTACAGAACCTCGGTTGATGAACATTTATTTCAGATTGTTTGTTTCTGCATTGCCTTGAAGCATCATCAGCACCTTTTTTTTAACCTATTGCTTTCAACATAACCCCATGTTCATGTTTAGTTCTTAGTAGGGGATTTTGTTCTAAAGCTAAAAATGTTTGAATTTTATCATTTTATCATATATGTTTATATGAAATCTCACTTTAGAATTTTTAGTTGCTTTAATGGGCATGCTTTAGGGAAATCTGTAACCTGTTGCTCCAATCAACAATGTTGAATATGAGCAAGGTGATATAAAACTGATAGATCATTTAGTTTTTTGTCTACATTTCTTGTTCCTCTTATCCTGATATCTGGATAAAAGTTCAGTTTAATATTTTTCTCTATTCAATCTTTTGAACCATGTTATACATTTATCATTTAACATTAGATACTACCAAAGAAATCCTTTAGTTACTACAGATTTTTTTGAAGTATAAAAATTATTGTGATATTAATTACAAGTGAGTCAGCAATAGGTCTCCCATTCTTGTATGAAAATCTTACCATATTCACACGGAGGATGAATATCAGACTTTCTAATGTACATGTATATATATCCTTAAAAGAAAACTTCTATGAATTACTAATAGTTTCTAAGCTCTAGTTCTTGATATATTTACAACGTATTATATTTACATGTCAAGAGATTATATTTTTTATATTGCCATAATACATTTCATAAGAACTTCATTTAAAAATTTGGTTAAGTACACTCTATATGGTGTCTTCAGTTCCTTTCAGTGTAGAGTATTTTATATTGTTGCCGTAATATTGCCGTCCAAATTGACTGCATTGTTTTTGACAATGCTCCTTTTTTCTATGTTCAATATTTGATGGAATAGCAAAAGTTGATTACATTATTTTAAGTATGATATTGATTTTATCTTCAAGAAAGCAATCAAAATTTTTGTCATTTTTTCATTTTTATACATTTTGAAAAGAAAACCTGGAAGGTACATATATCAATGTTTCTATAATAAAAGAAAACTTCATGAAATTGTTTTGTTTTTCATTATTTCTCACTCTGGAATCATCTTGTAATTTTATCAAAATGTTCAATTATTTGTGGATGAAACTTTTTGTTTTTGGGTCTGATGGAACATTCAAGCCAACCATTAGTTGCCAAAGAAAACTATCTCCTCTATTCCTTATAACAGCAACCTTGGGTGTTATTTACACCCTTGTTGCACATCTGCATATCACTATGTATTATCTTAAAAAGTTTAACATTTTGTAACAGTCTTGCATGTATTGACATTCATAATTCTATTTCAACACCAGTGAGAACTTTTTAAACCTGTATACATATAACAGTGTATCATGAAATTTCAGACAATTCGGCCACATGTAAGGACCTTACATAATGTTTCTTCGACAGTTAATTCTTGGTTCTATTTTTAGTTAGAGGCATGATCTTTGGAAGTTTTTAAACCCCTATTATACATCACAGTGTATCCTCATGTGAAGTTTTGGTCTCTTCATGATAAGACAATATCTGGAAACAGAGAACATCTTGTTGTTACACACCCTGTCAAAAGTTTTGAAAAAGTTCTGCTGACCACCTCTATTTTTTCATTCAATCCATCTGTTACATTTCACTTATTTTATTGGTTTTGTGAAATGGTGATATTGATGTTTTTGATATAGTGGACAAACAATACCAATATCTTGTTTAATTGATCAACTCACATTCTTTTTATTTAACACAAAGACATAAATTGTTAAATCTCATGTTCATGAGATCAATATATTGTCTTTTAAATATACATTGGCCTTACTGTCTTCTAATTATACACTGGCCTATCACATAATGAATGCCAGATTTATAACAGTTAACTAATAAATGCATTCACTTTTGTCTTAAAACACATCAAAATATCTTTATCATAACTATCCTGCCCAGGAAGCCAACACATCATAACACTGAAAATTGAAAACAGCGCTTACAAGACTGTAAAATATCATTAGTTGGCAGATATGGGTGGGCTTATTACTTCTTGTGGGTAAACATAATACTGTTTACTGTAGATTTATACTAATGCTTTTTGTACTGTTTTATTGTGTCAGATCACAATAATTGTTCAGTTGTGAGTGAACATCATGTGGTAATCCACTTTCTTGCTTATAAACAGTCCTTTCAATGCCCCTTGAGGTGTTATTAGTTTTGCAAAATGCAAAATAAAAAGATTTTCAGTTGTAAACAACATTTAAATTGTAATTGATTATGTAAAAGGTTGTGTCCATTTGTTAACAACATAAGGACCACAATGAACATTTTTGTGATTACCTCTGCTCATAAAGCTGATTACAGGCACATTGATATTCATCTCTGGAGGTTTGGCAGACATACACTATATGCAAGTTAACAATTGAGATTGAAAAGATACTACAATTTGTACTTTTTGCAGTCAACAACCAATTTCAAAATGTACACATATACAATACAGATTGCAGTTCTTCCAACCAATTTGACAGGTTGTAATGGTCAGACTACCTCGTACATGTATATAGAAATGTATACAAAATCAAACTTTGGTTTCTTCAAGAGGTATGCCACACATTTGTTAGAACATCAAATGGACAAGGTTATCTCCCATTGTATGTACTAATGAACATTATTCTGTTGCTATTATGAGCGTAACTCCTCCGTTAAGTCTGAGAATGTGTAAAGTTCATTCTGGTCAATAATAGCAAATCCACCTGAGGATACTAAATCTAACAAATTTTGTCCTTGGTTTAACTCAACATTCATAAAAAAATGAGTATATAATCAAACATAAAAGTGGCTGAAAATTGTGTCAACTTCAATTTTACTGTTATATATGGCTTACTGGCATGTGGGAAATCCAGTAACCGACTGAATCAGTCCCACCAGTAGGAAAATTTTTACTTTAAAACAAATGTTCCATTAGAGTTTATGTCAGTTTGAAGGAATAATTCCTATTAATTTTTGTAACATTTTTCTTTCAAAATGGCACTCAAACTAAAAACCAACAGCAACTTGTTCTTGTTACAGTTTTCACACACAAAACGGAACATCCACATCACTGGCAGGAACATTCACATCACTGGAAAAATCAAATTGTTCCTTTGAAGTGGCAGAACAGATTTAGAAAGTATTTTTCCCATTCACAAACTGCCAGAAAATAATGTCATTTTATATTAATTACCTAGCAATAAAGTGTTTTGAAATATTGTACATGTCTGAAAAATACTGATGGGTCATAAAGTAGTACATGTACAAATGAAATAAATAAACCAAATGGCCAATGAAAGTCATTCTCATGATTTTTCCTCTGCACCAGTGTTAGACTTTGCTTTGTCTGTAGAATGAGTTAATCTAGAAAACCAGTTGATGATGGTGAATCCATGTCTCATAAAAAACACATGGGTCCTGTCTTTAAATGCACCAAATGAATCAAAAGCTGGCCGCACATCCAAAATTGAAAAACGAAAGTTTTTATCCACATTCCCACCATCATAATAGTCTATGATGTAACGTACATCCTTGCCACACCTATCCACAATCCAGTCGTGTCTATCAAATGGCAACTCATACCTGGAGATGAAATAAATGAAGCATGTCAAACATCTAAAATCAATTGGTCTCATGTGTACTATACACATCAATGGATAATTCTATTAATGCTACCATATCATTTCTTCTTCTTTTTAATATTTATCAACTACAACTCCAAATTTCCATTAAATAATCTGACACCTTTAATTGAGAGAGACAACTTTTATATGTTTGTTCAGGGAAGAATTTTGTAGATATGCCACCTATTTCAGTGATCTATGCAAAGTAAACTACTTAACATCATTTTTAAAAAATCTTTGCATTAAAGTTGTAATTCTGTCTGATAAGACTTTTTGCAATAACAATAATCATCCTTACCCCATCCAACTTCTAATTTTAGCCCTTGGAGAGTATTCTGTGGCTTTGCCTCCAAATTTCCTCAATGCTGGGGTAGAACACTCCCTGGAAAAAGGTTAAGTAATGAATTGATTGTGACTGTTATGACTTTCAACAGAAAATATAGCATTCAGTCCTAATAAACTTCCACAAACCTCATTCTAATTAATCTGAAAAAAGACCCTATTGTTGAACACCCAGTTTTAAACATTGCAGAATCTTCTACAGCTGATACTTCAAAGGATATTTGATTTTGATCAATAATTCATTCTTGTTCTAAACAAGGATTTTCATTTTGTCAAGAAACTTTATGCTTTCATCTCATAATATCATAACATAATAAAATTAACAGTTGGTTGGCCAGCAGAGACAGCAGAGAACACCTTCCTGTTTTTGTGTTTTGAATCCATAACATTTCATAATCCTTCAAATTAGACAGAGATAAGGACAACACATAATTTAATATTATAACTTAAAGAAAGTTATTTCACACCTTAATAGTTATTTATTAAATAGGATTCATATGATAAAATATGTGATATGATAAAACCAGGGTTTTCCATAATTTTGTGTGGTGAAAGTAGGAGGCTGTCCTGCCGTGTACGTGTAGTTGTGTATGGAACATTATTACGGAACTGGATTGGTGTAGGCGGCCAAATGATCAAAGTAGCCGGTCAAATTGGCCGGCGACCAGCTCTTATGGAAAACCCTGTAAAACCACATCTTACTTTGCATGGAGAGCCTCCCATTTCAGGACCTCCTGCCAGCCTTGTTCATTGTTAGCATTGTGAATTTTGATAATGTCGGTCATATCTTTGGCCTCTAGGTCATCTTCTTTCCATCTCCACCCTACAGTATTCAAGTAAATAATAGTTAAAAATAATGAATAGGAACTAGACAAAGTGAATGACTAGAAAGTGCTTGTGAAACACATTTACACATTAAACAATGTAACAATTTAGACTGACATATGTCCTGTGAAGACTCGTACTCAGTCTTAAATGATGTATATGCTAGTTTTGTTTTTCAGTCTTTCCATTTCTGCTGAAGGCTTTTGGTGAATAAAAAAATCTGAAATCTTAATGCTACTTAAGTTTTAAAGATTTTAATGTAAATATATTCAATGACCTGTTTTACACCCTAAAACAAATACGTTCACCTATCATAAATATAACATGTGTTGTGATACCTCCCCAAAAATCTAAAATAGAAAAAGAGACCAAGAAACATTAGAAATTCCTTACTAGTTCATCAAGGAATTTTTTCATTGACTTCCAAATTTGATCAGACAAAGGTTATGGTAAATATAAAAAAAATCCTGAAAATTAATCAGACCTTTTCTCAACATGGCATTCCAAAACATCTGTTCTGACGGATAAACCCAATTGTCACTTGTGTCTGCCTTTGGAATGTTAGATACAATTCTGTCCTTGTCTAATGGAAAAGGTTGATCAGGTGCAGGGCGCTGGTTTGGTGGTGGCATCTGTTCAAATAAAAATCATAATACAGAAGGTTTTTTTTTCCCAGTCTTCAATAGCAGCTATAGCCATAGTGATAACATGACAACTTATATGGATTGATTGATTTCAGTACATTCTAGTGAAGAAACACATGCAAAACTGATCCTATTTTGTTAGCTCTACTTTTACTTGAAAGAGACATTTCCAAGGTTTTATTTACGTCATTCTAAGCAAAGTTTAACGCTACTTTAGTTACCATATTTGCTGGATCAATGTCATCAGGTAGTTTCTTCTCACCACCAGCTGCTCCCTGGTGCATCGGACATTCACTTGGGTAGCTCTTTGCTGCATTGTTAGATTTACTGTTTGCCTGATGCATAGGACATTCACTAGGGTAATTCTGTGGGGCTACATTGTTAGCGTTTACATCTTTATCTCCAGCTGTCTTATTGTGCATGGGACATTCTGATGGTGGGGAAGCAGAATTCTGTGGTGGATCCGTTGTAACTGGTTTAGAGTTATTCCCTCCCATGTTGATTTAGTATCAATGAAACTTCAATATCCTCTAAAAACAAAGAAATAAAAAAAGATGCTGATCACTTCATTACAAATTATCAATAAGAGTACCACAATGGATACTGCAATATGTACAACCCATCATGCATGGTGTGAAATGAATGATTGTACCAAGAACCAGCTGATTAAAAGAATATTGAAAAATTAGGAACTGTTAGTATCATAATTAAATCAAGTTATTCATTACAAATTGCTGCTTCTATTTGACATATATAATCTAATTTTAATAGATAGTAGAAAAACTTTTGTTCAGTCTGCTTTTGAAAAGGATTTATCTCCCTTCGCCTCATAAAACTAATGCTGTACTTGAAAGTTTGGGTTGTAAAGTGTTTATAATCAGTAGAAACAGTCGGAATCCTTGAACCTGAAAGTGAAATAATAGGTGTATACAGTTTCAGGAATTTGACTGATTGGTGAAATACGCAGTTTGTGAAAGTCACTCATGTTGTTGGAAGTTTAATGTAAATAGCTGCTTGTTTTCTCAATTTTTATGACATAATTTTAAAAGTTGGTATACTTATACTTTCAAGACAACATTATGAAATAAAGTATGGATGAAAATAGATATATTTCGTTTTCGATTTATAGTTTTTTTGATTTTGAATAAAGTTGTCACGTTGTCTCGTATCAATCTCAAGAATTGTTTCAATAATTACATAATTCTCTCTTTCAATTTTGTGTAAATGTCACATATATCAGACCTAAACAATCTGAGTGGACAGAAGTCTTTGGACTTTCTTTTTTCTGTTTATATTTTTCTAATCTAAAAAGGCAGTATTTTGGACACTGAGAGACAAATTCTGAAATACAACTATCATCATTTGAAATAATTTTTTTAAACCATAATCTAAGACTATACATAGACCCTATTGTAAACTGATGACATAAACTTCAATATTTTTTCACCATCAAATTATTTAAATTTAAAAAAAATGACAGTTGAACAAATTGTCAAATATCTGGATGATGCTTGTGTATTTGCTTCATCAAAGACATCCTTGATACTCCAGCGGTTACCATAACTTTTGCTCTCCGCACCCCTGGAACATGTCAAGTCAAAATTGAAAGCAAAAGCAAAGTAATTTTGTTTGTTTGTCATTAGTCATAATCTACGGTCTCCACTTACTCACTATTCTTATGCTTAACCTAACAAGCTAAACAGAAGATCTCTTTAGCATAGGGATATGTTAACGTTGAGGCTAGTACCAGGATTACATTACATTGTGTTTACTTTTTTAAAAAGTCACCTGTCAGTAAAAAATCCGAGGGGACTATAGAGTGTATCATTGTCTATCTGTCAGAATGTTTTCCAGATGATAACTTGAGTAAGAGATGACCAAATAGGTTGTAACTTGATGCAATGTCAGCTTAGTAGGAGACCTAGAGTAGGACTGTATATGGGGTCAAAATTTGAACTACAAAGGTCACTAAAAATAGATTTTCAGTTTCCAGATGATAACATGAGTTCAAAAAACAGTAATTATGGCACTGCAGGTATGTTGTTGTAAGTTGTTTACATCATTTTGTGTGTGTGTTTTAACAGCTCAGGAAGTGGTACCCCTTTACCATGAACACATATGTATTACTTTCATGAAAACAGAAGAAAAAAACTGCTGCTATGATCAGACTGGCACTTGTAATTCTGACCTTGAAATTCCTTACTGATGATCATTTAAACTGAATTACAAACCTAGCAATCAATAATATACCTAAAGTTTCAATACACCCACTGTTTTAATGTTTCATAACTGTGCTCCTCTAAGAACGCTTTTATATCTTTTTTCAATGTATAGTTTTTATGAAGCCTACTGTACCCACAGGAAAGTTAATAGACACTTGTATCAAATTGATGCTACTGTCCTCCTGTGATCTAGCTAGGCAATAAGCATAATGAGATGATGAAAAAATGGCCTACCGAACATTATGTAACTAATATTACACAACACTAGTAGTAAGATTCTAACGAAATTGGATGGTTGCTTAAAGAGTCAATAGAATAATACCATATAGTGAATATACTGTAATACATTTTGTTTTCATCAAAATACTAGAGTACTGTATTACGCAAGCCTCCACCATCCCCATAAACATTGTTACATGCTCTGTGATATCGATGACATTGCATCAGTCAAAGGGAGAGAGCTCATACACTACCATTATGAAACATTTCATACTTCCTTCCATTGATTCTTTTTTTGTGTTTCCATGTGGAAAGAACAAAAAGGGGAAAAAAGTTAAATGCTAATAACATCATCAAACGGCTCGTCTTACTTCTACTGAAATCGATGACATAAGCAGGTAAAGTCAGTTCCACGAGTCCAGCGGATCGGGATGTCAATCTAGCCGATTAGACCTATTTCAGTAATTTCATGGAGAGAGATGAAACAAAAGGTCATCTTTTCTATTTGTATAATTACTCCATTCAGGCACTTAAAGAAAAAAAAGTAACCTACGTGCTCTTTCTCGCAATCTTTCCCGTGTTGGTGTTTATGCTCCTTCAGTTGACTTTGGTTTCACAACGTGTTATTTTAAACTTCCGTTGTTGTAAAAATATGCGCGTGAAAGATGCGTATCATTTTGGCTCCACTTCCGGAAATGATTGGCGCTAAAATTGAAGATGGGAAAATCGAAGACACAGAAAAAATCTATGGAAAACGACCAGAAAGAAAATGGAATACAAATTTCCAGGTATAAATAATTCAGGAATCAGTCAATCTAGTGTTTGAATGCAAAAATGTAGGGAAATTTCGCTCATTTCCTTCTTAAAATGTTTTTCTTTTTCATCCAGCCGGTAAGCCAATAAGCCTGATGTGTCTCTTCAGACTGACTGATGGCGAAACCGTGCAACCTGACCAGAATACAACAATTTCATTGATATATAAGAAACATGTGAATGTATCATATTGATAGCGAAGAAGTGAGATTTGATGGATTTTACGAAATCCCTGTAGACAATTACATCACTATAATCATATCATGTTTACTAATAAAAGTTACAAATCTGAGTTAATGTGTTGTTTTCTGGGCTTTCCCTCACCCCATGTTGTGAGTGAATAGTACATGTTTTTTATGTGATGCTGCCCTTGTTTATGTGTATGATGTACATGATGAAGTCTAATCCTTCATCGCCAAGAATGAAATCTGTTCCCTCAAATAAATCAGTGAATTTATCCCTACTAGCTGGTTATATGATGTACAGGAAAATATTTCTGTTTCCAATTTCAATTTTCAATTTCCTCAAGTCAAAAATGTATAAAGAAAATAATTTCAATAGTAACTGGATTCGATTCTATTGTTTTTATTAAACCATTTTACCTTTTTGTGTGTTCACAACAAAGCATCATAAATTAAAATCATATTGTCCAGACAATAAAAGCTTAGTTTGGTGTATCTATGAAACACTTTATTCCTTTTACTAAAAATATTTGGGAAATGGACTCACGTTTTTCTAGTGAGACATGTCCATTTTTTGTGTGCTTTAACTTTAATATTTTTTGGGGTTATGAGTCACATTGGTATATAGACTGCATATTAGCTGCACCAAAATATGAGCTGTGCCCTTTCTTAAAATATGGTGACCACTATTGTTGACGTTTGATATATTGGTAACAGACAGCACAATTAATACTTTATTTTATTGATATATTTAAAATCATTCTGATCATTAAAAATACATAAAATATCAAACTGATTTTGAACCTTCAAAGATAGTCCATGCACAAATGGGGCACAACATTACATGCAGCATTACAACCTCTCCATCAGTACACCTACTGTTAAGTGGTAAGGAAGGTCATAGAATGCTGATTAAGTTTCTATAATCTTATAATATTTCTCCATTTTGTAAGCTTCATTAAAGCCAATGACCTCATAAACAAACACAGTGGCTGTTCTAGATCTCTTTGCTCCATTACCTAATGATGTTTTTTTTTTTGTTAAGTAGTGTTGAGATATATGTTAGAAACTTGTCCTTTTCTCTCATGTAAGTTCAAATGTTCAATAACAAAAATAAAAGAACCAGTGCACATGTATTTCAGGGCTCTCGGCCCCATTCCCAATGCAAAATAGTATCTTTTTTTCCCAATTTAGACCCCAAGTTCTCCCAATTCTAATGAAAATACCATTATTTTTCCAAAATCTAAGGGCCCTGGGCCCCAGTCCTAAAATGGGGTATGAGAGCCCTGTATTTAAACATTCATTGATAGTGTATGTGTTTGTAATTGTGAAAAGCAAAGCATATCAATGTGCAAACAGGCATGGTGGGGCCAACAGGGAGTTTTTCATTATTCAGTAAATAGCATGGCTTGTACTACATGTGCTTTGTACGTCTTTAAAAATTACTTAAGGTTGAATGAATTATTGAACTGTAGATACAGGTAAATTGATACTTTTAAGTCATCATAAAAATAAAGGCAACATACAGATATATTAAATCAATGTTAATATTTACAATTCTGAAAATATTTACAGCACCAAAATGTATTTGCTAAATCATTACAAAGTCCTAAAACAGGGTTATTCAATAGATATCTTCACTTTTTTCTATTTTAGTTTGATTTTCACACTGGATTCACACCTAGTTGTCAGTTCCTAGTCAACAAATTATACTTACATTCTTATGTTGTACTGAAGTAGCTTTGATAACTGCATTGTTATGCATAAATTTCTACCAAACATGGTCGTCAAAGGTTTGAGTGGATCTATCCAAACATGAATTTCATGATTCCCCATTGTTTGAAGTTTTCTAAACATATCAGGTTGTTTAGACAGTGTGACTTGCAGACTTCTTGTTAAAAAATTACGAATCAATGAAAATTTATTTAAATAGGCAATACTTTTGATACTCTTGTTGTTTTATAAGTATACCTTGTTTACTCACATGAACCGTTTTCACAAGAACACTTTGATTATACACAAATCACCACTTTCAAGCGTAATGCCAGCATTGAAGAGCTAATGTATGTATGTTAAACTACTTTAATTTGTACACATGAAAGCATGTAGCACATTTTTCATTTGATCACAGTTCTGTAACATTAGACACTACATGGTATTCTTAATGGCCAATTCCTTGTTCTACTACAAGCCTTTTTTATGTCTTTTATAGAAAGAGGAAGGCATCAGGGCAGCTCCAGCCGCCAAAGACAAAGATAATGTGGTCCATCAACAATACAGACACAGAACGTTTATATAAAGAACTTGGTGTAGGAACTTTGTCATCTGAAAGTAGCAACAGTGATGCTGACAGTTTAACAGAACTTACTCCCACAGTTGGAAAGAAAAATGCTTCACAAGAAGTCCCCGGGGTAGGTTTAATGGGAGAAGTATAAGAATTATGTAACAATGATAAGATTTTTTATGCCTGTTAGGCATGAGATAGGGGTAACTCAATAGAGGGGAATATCAAATTGGCAAACAGGCCTTGTAAGGCTCCATATCTCATCTACAAGAGAAGATATTGATTATTTTCCAATCCTATTTTCATGTTTGTCTTCCTATATTTATCTTGTTATCTCAGTGCTTGACATTGTTGACAAGATGTCATCGTTATTTAATGTGAATCCCTAGCCTTAACTCTAGGATGAGATGAGGGAATTTCACACATCATAGATACATCTGCCTAGGGTAAGAAAATGCTACAACACCTTTTAAAATTTTCTTAACTGTAAGATGAATGATATGGTCAAGAATTACTATTAAACTTAATGGTTTAGATGAACATGCATATCATGCTCTTTTATAATTAGCAGTGTTTTTCTTCAGAAAAAAATGAAATAAATAAATATTCAGTCGCTGAAAGTCAGCACAACATTAAAAAAGTATGCATGTATTAATTTTGAAACCAGACAATCTTTCGTCATAACCAAGCAAACAAATGAAAGGATAATATACTCTTATGCAAGTCTTAATGCAATTTTAAGAAAACATTTTCAAGTCCCACAAATTGAGTGATCAATATGATATAAAGTTGTAAGCTCCACTTTATACTATGATAAATTACATATCCTGAAAACAGGAGGAATTTGTATATTAATCATCAGGCATTTCCTGAAATGCTGCTTAGTTTGTTATAATTAATGATTTTTGTGTTACAGGCACCAAAGATACTACAACCCAGTCAGTGTCTCAATACATCCATAGGATTAGAAAGACGAAGCAGTCTCTCGCTGTTTGTTTCATCCCCGGTCAACTACAGTCGTCAGAAAAACAAATGTGATATAAGCGTATGTGATACCAAAGGACCAGGTAATTGGGCAGATTTCATAAAGTTTATTTTTACCCATTTATCTTTTTTTTTATGCACATTTGTTTTCAATAATGTTGTTCTTAGTACAAAATGTCATATACTGAATGAAGTTTAATTAATTATGTTTATATGTAAAGATAAAGGAAGACATGCAAAAATTGTTTAGCTAGGATACTCCAAATAGGAATTGGCACCAAACTTTCAAATTGGTAGATAATTAAGACCCATATGCTTTAAAGCTATGATACTACATAATGTATAATGGATAGTGAATAACCTGATATAAATTGAGAAAGTCGTCCACAACACAAGGTATATATTTTGCTATCCCTGTCTTGTCTTTTCTTACTGATCCTGTTTCTGTTATTGTTATTAATTTATCTAATTACTCAGTTTTTTCTTTAGTCACATACATCAATGCATGCCTTATTCTTCCTTTCAGATTATTTCAGTGGGCTTTCAGATGAAATTATTCTTTGTGTTTTCCGTTGGTTGCCAAAATTTACTCTTGCAAAATGCTCCAGAGTATGCCATAGATGGAATCGTCTTGTGTAAGTGCCAAACTATATGTGTTTGATCCTTTGAAATTAATAAAACCTCTACTCTACCAGTTTAACTTGTAGTTTTACTAAAATTGCAATGTTTATTAACCTGATATCAAAAGAGAAGCATGTAAAACAAATGACCATGTGAAATCTTTAAGTAGCACAAATAGAATTCGCCATTTGCACAGTAATGAGATAGGACTGAAGTTTATATCACGAACGGTAAGTCAAATGTTTTAAAGCTTGCAATAAGATGTATCAAATTGAATCAGAAAAGTGCAGAATTATCTTATGAGGTAACAAATATGATTACAAGAGAAAGATGGGATCACCTGAGAAGTGAGAAAGTTGGTGGGCTTGCCTTTATTCACTTGTTTTGAGTGTTGACTTAGTACAATAGTATAAATATTTAACTCAATGTATGTATAAATTACAGGTCAGATGATTGTCTATGGAAAAGAATTGACTTGGCTAATAAGACCATAGCTAAAGGAACACTAAGCAACATCCTGAATCGGGGCGTGCAAATCCTGCGACTAACCAAGTCAGAGGTAAGGGTGTAATGGACAGTAGTTTATTTTTACACCTGTTGATAGGTTAATTAATTTCAAACTCTGGACTGTGTACAAAATGTAGTTTTTCTTTAATTTACAAGTTTTTATGCTACAATGTAGGGTATTGCAATGATATACAAGTAATTTCAGATGAAAAACAAGATTATCAGAACCCTTACCTTGTCCAAGCTGTCATAATATCTGGATCATTCATGTAAAATTTGCATGATGACATACTCATCCACGGTCCTTTCCCAACAGAAAAAAGCTATCATAATAAAGAGTGAAAGAGTGATTGCATCATCAGTTTCAGTACAAAGACTTAATTCTGTCAGGTGCTATAGAAGGAGTTGGTAGATGTATTCTCTAGCAAATAGCTCTGAAATTCTAGAGTTTTAATCTCACTAATATTTAGTATAAATTCTTGATGGTCAGATTAACTTTCATCACACTCATTAAATCTTATTGGATTTATGGCAGATATTAAATCATTTTTTTTTAATTTCAGGTTGAAGGACCTATATTTTCTGGTTTCACAAGTATAATCAAGTCTACGCGGTATGTTCATTTCAACAAGGCTTACTTGAAATGACATAAAATGAAATTTGTATGTTTTATTTGATGCAGCATCAAAGTGAAAGTAGGCATTTGATAATACAAATAAAGCTTGTGATACTTAGTGTATAGTAATACTGTCAGATTAATCATGCTAAAGCCAGTAATTTTACTGAACTTTCATGACCATCGAAAGGAGAGTGAGGATAGGTAATGCACTAGGGAGCACTCATTCCATATTCTGGGTTATCTCCCCTTCCTTAGATGAAATTTATTGGAGGTAACATGTATGTATGACTTGAATTTGGTGCTAAAATCTAGATTATTTGGTAAATCTGGTTAAAATTCACTTAGAACATATTCTTTAAGATCTGATGTAGTGTCAGTGGTGAGGTTCTTGTTACAGGAATTGCCATTATTATCAGAAAACCTGACATCAAAACCTGACATCAGTCAATGTATGATTTAGTTGGAGGATATAATGAAATTTGTGTTTTAAAAGTAGGTTTATAAAAAATACTGCAATAACTTTCAAATCTGAACTTTTGCTTTAAATTATATTTGTAACTCTTGGTTAAAATATGAAAAAAAAACCACATTTGCCAAAGTCTTCTACAAAAACTTTAAAAAGAAGAAGCCAATGTTAGGTGTTAAGTGCTTTGCTGTGAGTATGGATACCAAAAGATATGCAGGGCAATATTAAGTATGAAGAAGATATTTATTATAACATACTCCTGTGTTACCAGTAAGTGGGTGTCAACTAGTTTCACCTCTATCACAGAAGATTCCTCTTCATACATAATTGTCAGATTCTGAGCAGATTGGGATATCTTCCTGTTTTGCTGTTTCATGACACATTAAATATTTTCATTAAAAAAAATTTGTCTGTATTAATACTGAGGCTGCAATTCCTACACTAACATGAGTAAAGTACATATATTATTTTTTCTTTGTCACAGGTTGTCTAAAGTTCAGTATCTGGACCTGAGTATGGCTTCAGTTCCGGTGGCTGTCCTAGAGGAGCTATTTTCCGTGTGTCGTGACCTGAGAAAAGTCAGTCTCGAACACTGCCAGCTTAGTGATGAAGTGTGCCAGTAAGTTGTATACTTTTGTCTTATACAAATGATTCAGAGCTCTCACTAAGGCTAAGATGGAATTTTTCAGTTTGTGATGGAAAAGATTTTTAAAAATAATGATTTATAATGTTTGTTGATCATAATTTCATTTAATGGAAATCAATTTTAGCAAATTAAAGTTATTTTTTAATCTTTTAAATCAATCCCTCATATGTTAAAGAAAATACATGTCAGTGTCCGTTTTGTAAGTGGTGTGTGTGTGTTTTATAGACTTTGTCATTCCATCAACTTATTATTTTCATCAACATAGTTACAAATAGTTGAGTATCTCAGTGCAGGTACTGCAGAAACATATTTGCTACAGGTTAAATCAGATCATGAGAAGATTAGGAATTTTGATTACTTGGGTAAATTTTTGTGAAAAACATGAAATTATTGCAGATTTTAAGCTCACACCTTCAATAAATGTCTTTAGTTAAAAGTATTGATTTCCTATTTTTGCAGACATATTGGAGAGAATAAGAACCTAGAAGTCATTAATCTAGCCATGTGCCAAGGAATTACATCTGCTGGTTTGATGCCAATCACAACAAACTGTCGCAGGTGAAAAAACCATTATATCAAGGAGTATAGATGATTTCACAAGAAAATAAGCCTTTTGGGGGCTATGTAATGAACATTTATGAAAAGTAGCAGAATTTGATAATTTCAGAAATTAATCATTATGATAATAACGATCCTGATATGAAAACATGATAGAAGATTTGTTTTGTTTCAAGCTGTGATTGTTACAGTGGACCTTCTGGTTGATGTTTTTTATTCTTCCCATCCATTCCTTGCTTGCATTTCTGGGATTGATTTTGTTAGAATACTTTATATGAAGTTAATGCTGTAATTCTTCATTATGATTTCAGACTAGAGTCACTGAACTTAGCATGGTCTGGTCTACAACGACACAGCGTGGTGTACCTGTCTCTATGTCTGCCATCTAGTCTCCGCAAACTCAACCTCAGTGGCCTTCGAGAAAATATTACTGATGAAGGTATACATTTAGATATATATATATGCATAAACTGATAGAAAATCTAGTCCTTGAGAACCCTTGGGAAAACATTAATAATAACACGTATACTGTCAGTTATTTACAGAACTAGAAGTTAATGTTGGTAATAATTAAATGAAAATTGTATACAATCAAGATCCTCTATATCATGTTATTACTCATATTGTTAATGGATTCCCTGCCCATCACAAGTTATTTTTAATTTAATTTTTTTTTTTGTCGCCATGTCATCAGTGCAGCGTTTTTATCATTTTTGTCTCACTTGCAATGAAAGCGATGAAAAGTCGCAAGAGTAATAACAGCAGCTATGGTGGCAGTATTGTCAAAATTTCACAATAAAAAATTCCATCTAGGTCCATTTCTCAAAAAATTATGAAGTTGAACTTTAACTATACATGGTATATATAGCTATACTACATAACACATACCTCAACACATACATCATTTACAAAATATTTTTAAAATCTTATAGTCCAGCAACTCTGGAAATTATGGATGCTGGAAATCTGAACTTTTGCATTAAGCTCGGGAAGAGTGATATTTTTGGAGTATCAATACCATATTGGAGTGAATTTTAGAGTTTTTGAGATTTAAAGGGTTAAACAAATCCGAATTTTATTTTGTTTTTTATTTAGCACTTTGTTTAAACATAACTGTAATAACAAATCAGAGCAGAAGAGTTATATAACTATTTTTCTTGTTTTCTGTTTAACTTATTATAGGTCATATTTTATCATATAAAGGTGGTGGGTATGTAGTGATAATTTTATTTCTGTATTTGTCCAGGAGTCTCTAAGTTTACAAAGCTTGTGCACGTGATATCTCCAGAACCTCTCAAAATGTGCAGTTCACATTCACACCACAGCATCACACTTTAAAGTTGTACATATGAGTGTATTTTGATGCTAGTTTAAAGAGTCAACTTGACCAATTTTGAAATAAAAAGATATGTAGTATTGGCTGTATCTGTGTGAGCTTTTCCTCCTCCCCCACCCCCATTTTTCAACAATATATCTATGAAAGGTTTGTAACACAAAACAATTTTAGATGGGAGAAATGCATACATTTACCAGTTTTATTATGTTTATTACTTCATTTAATTTGAAAAACAACACTACTTAAATTAGCATTGAAAGGGACATGTCATTCAACATACTACCATCATTTAAATCTTTACCTACTTTGACAGGGCTAATACCATAGATGTGAAAAATTATCTATCAGAATTGATTGACGACAAAGACACACAAAAGTTTTACTGTTGACTTAATAGAGAGGTTTTTATATTGCTGTTACATAATCCAAATACATGACATTGAATATGACCTGTTGAACTGGTATCATCTGTTCTGTTTCTATGTGCCAAGAAATTTGCTCCTAAAATCAGTTGTGGAAAATTTTTTACTGCATTTCTTCTTTTGAAATATTCTGATGTAAAAATTGTTAAGTTTAAAACAAATAATGAAACATGAATGATTGGTGTAAGTAGTTGTAAATGTTATGTTTTGCCATGTTTATCACTGTAGGAAAAGTTTATTATTGATGTGAGGGTGGTACACTGCTGCTCATCCATCACTGCTAATGAAATGGCTGTTTTGGTTTTTTTTCAAACAATACATTAGTGGTAAAATTGCCATCATTCTGAATCACACATATAAATGTTACTTTTTATTATTATAATGATATAATTTATTCTATGTTTCATTTAGAATGATAGGGTAGACAAGCTGTCACTGGTCTTGATTTGGAGATGCCAAAGTGAAATCTTGTCATAGAAACCTCTTTTGTATTTAATACCAAATACTGCATATTTTGTCTCTCTGATCAAACTTTTATGATTATTATTTTCTGACAGTTTCGGTTTTACAAACAAATTTATGTCTGGGATTTTGCATTTACAAAAATGTGTATTTGAGTATGTTGTTATCTCACTTATGTCCTCTTATAACAGAGGTTCATCAGCTGGTAAAGACGTGCTCCAGCTTGAGAGAGCTTGACCTCAGTGACTGTACCATCCTCACCTGCTCATCCATAGAACATATTGCCAGCCATCTCAACAGACTTGAGTACTTGGCCCTAAGTCGGTGCTACAGAATACTGCCTAGTACAATTCCGTAAGTCTAAATTATCTAAATTTGGATGTTTTGTATATTTTCTGTTTCATACGTTAGGCTGTAGTATTGGCACTCTGTCCACTGGCTGTTAAATACAGACAATGGATCGGGACAATCAAAATATTTTTATGCCCGGCCATTTCATTGGTTGGGTGGCATAAAGTGTTACCCATATTTCTCTGTCATATCCCATTCTATATTCATGTTGAGGACTGCTTTACACATTTGGTTATAATTTACCCCATCTCCGTAGTATCATGACATCAGCTTCTATACAATGTCAGATTCAGGTTTGAGTCAGATTGGGACATTCCTGTCTTGTTAACATCATTGATGTTATTGTCATCAATTTCAATTTCTTTTTCCTACTTATATCCAAGATGACCTCAAATAACTGGAACTGGCCAGTTGCCTCTTATTTTGTGTCTACATAATGCTACTTTACTCGAGTGGAAGTGGATTTAGTATTAAGTTGTTTGGTGAGCAAGATTTTATTTGTTCATAAAAAATTTCAGCACTTAGAAAGGAAATCATAATACACTGTTATCTCTTGATGTAGTTATTTTACAATAGGCTCTATTACAGTGAATTCAGTTTATGGAGCAGAGTTCAGGGTATTATCTTGTGATATCTTTGTGATTCCAGAAAATTGAATCAGCTGGATTCCATGCTGGCTGTAGACGTATTTGGTATGCTGCGGGAAGGTGCCCTGCAACAGCTCAGAGAGGCTATGTTCCGCATCGAGATCAACAAGTTCCCATTCTCCAGCATTGCAAGACCAACAACAGGAATACGTCGCACCAGTATATGGGGACTGCGTGTTAGGGACAATGTGATATAGGAATTACAGAATGTTTCACTGTTAAACCTGCTTTGTATTTATTGGATTTTGCACAGTTAATTGTTGTTGTATGTTAACAAATACTCTGACATTTTACACTAATTTTGTGTTAAGTGATGAGTTACATTTGGCGAATTGTATGATTATGTCAGTTTATCAGGGTTTCTGAGGCAGCTTGAAAATTCCAATCTTGAAAAAAAACTTTTATATATAAAGATATATTAGGGATGTCTTCGAATATTTGTTTTTGAGTTTATGAAATATTAACAAACAGAACATTGCTGAGATCATTTGTTCTCCTTCATTTTTCATTCTAAATAGAATATTGTCAGTTAAAACATCAAAATATAATTAACATTCAAAGTTTCACGCCTGTACACTTCATCATGACACTAATTAACCTATCCTGGAGGGCCTGAGGTTTCCTCTATCCAAGTAAATTTCACACTTTGTTTGCACAAAACAACAAAGATCAAATCCATACCTGTATTATTGGTGTGATCCATGGTCTGGCAGCACTGTTGGTCATTTTCAGTAGCATTAGATTATGACTTCTGTGAAACATTTACATAAAGTAATTGTAAAGTACAGGAAATGTGAACATCAAATGACATTTTTGTGCAGACATTTTTTTTGCTAAATCAATAATGACGTACTTTGTGAATAGTCATGACTGCATTTTGACATTTTACAAAAGGAATTCTTTGCTAATTTTAACCAAAAGAATTGTTAAATGATCAATCTTTTAAATATTAGTTATTGTTTACATTCAGTTGTTTTGGATTTATCACACAGGACACCATTGTACCTAATGTGACTTCGTTCTTGAATTTATTTTTGTAAATTTTATGTTACAACAGTTATTCTATTGAATGTCATTAATGAGTTTGATAACAATGCTATTGTTTGGGATTTGAAATATGAGAAAACATATTTGTGTCTTCACATCTTACCATTTCCTGTCACACATTTTCATGTTCTTTCACATCTTTACAACAGAATCTATCAGCAAGATAAATAGGCCTCATATTGATCTAATTTGCTACAACTAATCTTTTCTTTTAAACAAGTTACATGCTAGTTCATATAAAAAGTAATTTTAGATTCCATTTTGGTTCATATATTTGGGGGAAATGGTAATGTAATGGCCACCCATAAGAAAATTCTGTACCACATGGAATGAACATGAAAACAAATATTTGAATATTAAATCAGACAAACATTTGAATACAAGCAATTTCTATCAAATTGACATCCCTAATATGTATGTAATTGAAAAAATAACTTCAACACACCAATTGTTTGTCTCTGATACTTTCTGGCCTATATGTATATAAACCTTTAAAATTTTTCTCTAAATCATTAAAAATAATATAAAAACAACTTTTTTTCATTAGGACTAGGAAGATTTCTATTTCAATTAACAATTTTGAAAAAAAAAAAAAAAAAAAAAAAAATGTGTTTTTATTGATATGTTTTTACTATTTTGACACAACGTCATGGGAGAATTCAGATTAAAATAATGAAATGGCAATGCTCAACATGGATATATCACAAGTTAGAGACAACAAAATTTGTTGCCTTTCTGATAGTGATTATGTGCACACAAAAAATGATATTGATTGCTTTAGTGTAAATTATAGTGCTTTTCAAATATCTTTAGAAAGAAGTCACAAATCTTTTTTACAAGAAAGTTATTATGATTTTGGTGGAACTTAAATCAATTTTTGTCTGATTTTTATCTTCAGATAATGTTTTTGATATCAATGCAATGAAAGTTTGATTTTAATTTCTATCAAACCACCCATGCTAAATGGAGTTGCTGTACAATTTTAAGAAGTTTTGGTACTTAATTGTATCATTTTATTGTGCATCCTTGCTGTACTGTGTTTAACTGAACTAGGAAGGGAGATAAGTCTGTTTGATTTACTTTAAAAGTAATTTTCACCTGATGATTCCATACCTGTGTAGTACATATATTGTAGTATATTTTAACTTGATATTTTAAAAATTGTACCTTTTTTTTTCAAACACTCTTATCTTGCTTTTGAAATTCAGCAAGGTTTTGTTATTTATCTGTCAACCTTTTTTATTTTTTTTTTTTGTTTTTTTTTTCCAATTCATGTTACAGCTTTTTTTTTTTTTTTTTTTCATTATTCAGGTCAGATCTATGGGGTTGTTTTTGTTCTAATTGTTGAGACCCGGAAATGTATTTTTTTCACACCTGCAAAATTATCAAGCACCTTTTTTTCAGGTCTAATCTTGACACTTTCAAGCAACAGATTTGATATTGATAAATGTTTTTATTTACACTTTGGATTGTGTGAAAAAGCCCTTTCCCCATAACTACCCTTTAATCAAAGTATGACACCCACCATATAAAGGACCATATGTGTAATCATACCTAGCAGAGCTGACTGGCAGAAGGGTCCCCTTGTTTCAGGTGTGACATAACTTCTGAGTGTAATGTACATTGCGACATCACTAAAGAAAATGATCTACAGTGTGAAATTGACCAGTTGAGATTTTGTATCAATGTCATAAAATGCTATTTTCACAAAAGCTTTGCAAAGGTATCAAACTTATGTGATAACAGAATCATACACCCAGATTGTGACAGTATAAAAGGTTTTTTCCTTTTATAACCCAATGGAAACCTGTGTAAGATCCTGTTTTATGTTCTTAAAAGAAAGGGAAAAAAGAAGAAGGCTCAAATGAACTAATACATATTGAAGAGAATTTTTAATTTATGATTCAATACAAATTTTGTAATAAAAACAATGTTATTTTTAGAACATATGCCAGCAACAGACATTTTGATTTTAAGTATAAGTATATATCATAGGTCTCTGATTGAATATGAAAATGTCACATTGCCAGTTAAAGTCAGGCAACACCTGTGACATAGGTCTTATATATAGGTCTTACCACAAACATGACATCTTCATCCATGTCATCCAATGTTATCTTCTGAACTTATTTTAGAAAGGCTTTTAACATTCTATATTCAGGTATTTTATGTCAGAAAACTTCACTTGATGGTTTATTAATTATTTTTATTTGACGTGTATATTCCTGCATGCATATCTTGATCCTTACTGTATTTGACACATTTAAAGTACTTCTATATAATAACACAGGATGATTGTCACTTTTTTTTTTTAATTCCATAGCTTACTTAAGGGATCTATCTAGATTAATTTTAAAGTGAACAATGCTTTTTTACACTGTAGAATTTTTGTTTAGAATTTTTAAATGTTTTTGTCACCTAAGTTTTGAATCTGTTACCAGAAAGCAAACTGAAACTCAGATTGATTGAAACTTACATTTAACATTTACCATGAAATCAAGTTTTCTTGATGTAGACAAGTTCTTTAAATTTATTTTTATCAACATCTTTAGTTATATATGTTACTTTAAAACAGGAAATTTCTACAACTTTTGCTATCAAATTAAGATTGATTCACAATATCTTAAGAAATCACTCTTTGAATGGAAAATAACTTGGCTTTAAATTCTTCCTGATCCTAGCACATTTTTTTTTCCTTTTTGTACACTCCATTCTTCTCGGTAAATGCTAATTGAAGTTTTCATGTAAAATGATAGAAAGTAAAAATGGAGGCAGCTCTTAAGAATTTTTGTTTAATTCAAACTGTTTTTAGCAGATGTTTATTTTTTAATATGGTATACTTAGTCTCAGGTCCTGTCACATGATAACAACACTCATCCACAAACGATTCTAACTTAATAGCATTACTATTGCACCATAATAGGTAGGGCTTTCCTATTTGGCTTGTATTCCTTGTGACAAGACCTTTACAGTGGTACCAAAATTTTATACCATGAGACATGGAGAGTGACTGACCTACATTCGAAAAATTTTAATATTTGCCATATCTGTCGAAATAAAACCGTCAAATCATTACCACAATGGAGACATTAGTGTGTCACAAATTGTGCATGTGATTAGCACATGCCTTAACCAGTAGTTTTATTTTATCACTTTAAAATGTTTTGCAAGTGGAAGCTTAGTGTTTCATAAAAAAACATTTTTTACTATTTTATTTTGTACAATTTTTTAAACAGTTACAGAATTGAGAATGTTGCAAACAAGTGTGAGCACTTCAGCTACAAAAAACGCCCTTTTAATTTAGAAAAAATGTAAATTTGGAGACTTTTCAGCTTTTTTTTTTTTTCCTTCAAGATCTAGACTTTCCCTTGGTATTACATAGTTTTAAATCACATGAATATTTCATTTTTATTTGAATGAATGTGTCTGTATATTAATATATAATTGAATTGGTGTTGGTACTACTGATTTTAACAGGTTGAACAGTTGTGGTTTATATAGATTTTGTATACCAGAGTATTTCTTGTTTACCTCAACTAAGTGTCTGATATACCTCAAAACCTTGCAACTTTTTCATGATTACCGTTATTTTTCAAAATTGAGTGATAACTTTTCCTGGTTTATTGGCAGTTAATGATATGTCTGTAAATCTATTTAGGGATATAATTTGACAAACATTATCAGCTGTCACAAAATACATTATTGATAAAGTGTTTTTTACCATTATGACGCACAGTGATGTATTTTAATAGCATCAATGCATACTAAGAAACATGCAGAATAATGTTATATTCCTCATGATTACATCTCCCTGTTTACCTGGACATGTTAATTAATGTTAGACACTGTTCTGTTTTTAAAAAGTTATTGTTTGTGAATTGTACATAGTTTATACATCCTGTAGACTTATGTTCTAATGTATAATTGTTGTTGGACCATAATTAAGTATTTAGATGAATAGCTAGGCCTCATTCCAGTCAGCACAAGGCACGGAGGCTTGTTAAACATATAGAAATCTTTCTAACCTCTAAGCTAGATTAATTGTTTTTGTATTTTGTAATAGTTTTTTGTGATTACAAGGTTAAATTAGATTGAAAATTGACAGGTAGTTGTAAAAGTTTCAATCATGTTAATGGTATTTTTGGCACAA